AATTGCTCCCTGTGAATGTGTATGAATGAGTTTCTGTTCGATGGAGTTTGCCGTTGCTGTGTGAATGTGTGTGAAAGGGTGAATGTGGCACGTAGTGTAAAAGTGCTTTGAGTGGTCCGAAGATTAGAAAGGCGCTATACAAGTACAGGTCCATTTACCATTTACCATTACCATCAAGGGTAACCCCTAAATATTTTAATTCATCCACATTTTTGATTTTTTGCCCATTTACTAAGATTTCAGGACAATCCCTGAGTTTGCTCCTGTTTGTAAAGAACATGGTTACAGTCTTTTCAACGTTTAAGGTCAAACAGGAGTTGTTTAGCCATTCAACAACCTTCTGCATTTCCTTAGTTAATTTCATTGCAACCTCAGTTGCATTTTCCTGTGAGTATATAACACAGTATCATCAGCATACATTATTAATCATCAGACATCATTACACACAGATGGAAGGTCGTTAATATATATGCTGAAAAGCAGCGGCCCTAAAATTGACCCTTGTGGCACTCCCAGGGTGCATACTTTAAATGGGGATAGAGTATTGTTCACCCGCACACACTGATGTCGGCCACTCAGGTAAGATTTAATCCAATTTTGTGTGTCTATGGAAAGGTCATAATTTGCCAGTTTGTTTAATAGTATGTTATGAAACATTGTATTGTTTTAGTTACTTCAGCATGCTGTTTCTGTTGAATGTTTTTTTCCTAAAGCCAAACTGCATAGGATGTAAAAAAGCCCTGGAATCGAGGTGAGCAATTAGTTGTTCTGCTACAATCTTTTCAATGGGTTAGGGTTAGGCTTTATTTTATAGTGAAATATTATAAAGCAGTGGTATATTATAAAGCGGTGATATATTATAAAACAGTGATATATCATAAAGCAGTTATATACTATAAAGCAGTGATATATCCTTTAACAATCTGTGATAAATGTTTCGAGAGTTTTTGATTCCCCGTTTACAGGATGAACTGCGATGAACTGATGAACTAACAGAGATGAATCCTGTCCTTAACAAGTGGAAACAAAGATATGAACTCACCTGCTGTGGCAGGT